CAACAGAAAGTGTTTAGTGACCTTTGTTACTGCATATTGATATCAGGCATACTTAACATGTTCCTTGAGGTGTTGTGAATGTGTACATACTGTACACTCGTTTCATGCTTTTTCACTATTGTTGGCATGAAATAGCAATTGTGATCATCATATCTAGGCTACTTATCGAGTGAAACAGCTTCTCAAACAAGAAAAATGTAGGGCGGTACATGATTATGGCATGCACAGATGAATCATTTATAATAAACACTGCAACATTCCATAAAATAAGAATGGTTGATTTCATGGTGATTTTAAAGTCGCATGTAACCAGCAAGTTTAGAATGCTTGTTTTAAGGCAGTGGTTGATTTTACAGGTAAGCATTTACACTGCAAATGCAATGTCATGCCTTTTTGACAACATCTGATGATCTGCCTCTCTTAAATGTTATTGTTTATACCTATACTTAGTGCTGGTGTCCATTTCAGGTGATCCAGTCGCCAGTGATCCTACAAACAAGTTCAATACAACATCTCCATTTGATCTTAAGGTGAGTCAATTCATTTCACGGGATAGTTTGATTTGGACTGTTTATTTTGATGTGATGCATGTTACTATACAGAGATATTGTGATGTTTAATTTAAGTTCACTAAAGGCAAAGAAAGATGAGAATGATTTTAGTGTGAATCGTTATTTACATACTTTTATCAGGCACTTGTCCGTCTGCATTAACCATGCACACAGAAGAGCTCATGTCCTGGGAAGAGACACACAAGACCCATGACTGATTACTGATATGATCTGATAGTCACACATCTAATCTGACCACATACATTTCTTATGCACTTCTCCCTTACACTAGTCAGTCAATATCTGACTGCTAAATTGACAACATCTTTATGTATAATAATTTGTTAAATACATTTCTTTATGTATATCATTTGTTTTAAAAAGAGGAAGCACTTGGCCTGCTGAAACACAGTGAAGTCAGTATTACAAATGACTGGTCACAAATGTCATGGCAAGCGTGTGAAGATTATGATGCGCGTAAAACTTTATTCTCAGAGTGAGTTCTCTCTTCGATGAAGTTCTGTGAGATTGTTTTTCTATTTGTTTTTCATGTCTTGCACCGTGAAGTCTCGCCAGAGCACCAGAGAGGCGCTGCTTCACCGTACCGACCCCCGTCCACCGGCTCCACTTCCTCATTCTTCCAGTGGAAACCCCACGGATCGCTACAACCGGGGAGACAGACTGACAAGCGGCTCCCTACTGCGTTCCATCTGTGGACTGCATATGTCTTGAGAAAATAACGTACTCTTTATGTTTTTTTTGCTGTAATACGGAGTGCTGCCCTTCTCTCGTGTTTCCCCTCCCTACCTCCCCCGTGCGCAACTCTCCCTCTTGCGTGACACGGCAAGAAAAACATCCACCGATGAGTTTTCGCTCCGTCTCCCGCAACACGGCGCGCATAAACTACCTGCGCGGCGGAAATCAAACTCACCTTTTCGACTCCGGGCAGCCGTGTGCAGGTTAGGAGGCATTAGCCATGGTCACGTTTTTAAATCCAGTGGATTTGTCCACGGGTAACTGTTGTCCGTGTTTCTCTCCGCTGCTTTTCCCCCTCTCTCTAGTCAGTGCCCTCTCGCGTGACGTGACGGTACTGTGTCATTTCCGCACGGCTGTGGGATTTTGACCACCCCACGTGAATCCCTGAGCTGCTGTGCCGTGGCATTGAAACGCGCTGTGGCGTGGGCACACTAGTCATTTCAAGAGGCCCCTCGAGTCTCGCGCCTGAGTTCCACGAGGGTAAAATAACCCGTGTCATAGACGCTCGTGACCATACAAACCTACATCCCAGTGTTCTGTTGAATTCGTTTCAGAAAACTTGTAATAACCATATATATATATATATATATACACACACATACACGTTTTATAGTGCATTCTGTTGTTTTATTCTAAAACGATTGATTTGATGGTGGTACGGTTAAATAAATGACGTTCAGCAAATTCTGAGTAATGAGATTGGAAATGTAAGCAACACCAAGAAAACCAAACGATAGGCTACCACGAATTGTTTGGATGTACTTTGTTCTCACAGGTTTTGCATTTAATAATATTTGGTTTAAAAAAATATTCATTTACTAAGTCTTCGTGGATTAGTGACTCGAAGTATTGTATTTTTTATTTTATTTAATTTTTTGACTTTCTTTATGAAACCAAATGTTGCCCAAAAAACAATTTATCTGTAACATTTAAGACCAAAATGTATCATTCTCTTTATCAAATTGTAGATTTTAAAATGTTGTTTTAAAATTAAATGAAAAAGTGATAAAGTAGTAGTGCATTTTGCATACTAATTGCCAAAGCATTATAATTAGCCTAAATACATGGTTCTGTATAGTTTCCCACCAGCTAAAATAGTAACCTGGATTAAGGTTAGCACTTTAAGGAAACCTATGCAAGTTGTTTGAGTAATATAGCCTACGTGTGCGCACTTTTAAATTATGTAGGTCTAAACTGCTTTCTGTACTCTTTTACATATAATCATGTTATATAGAAAAGCCATTATTAACTTTATCAGCACATAAATAGGCTAAACTTCATATTCTTGACCATGATAGTTACAACTAGCCAACATCATATTAATATAATTTAACTAACTGCAACAATGTCAGCGCTTTTATGTTGTTTACTGCCAGTTTACCAATGAACTGCCGTCTAGTGGATATGACAAGTAATGCAGGGCAAAGTTGCGTTACTGTATTGTGAAATGTTTTGTCAAATAAATAATCTGTAATTGTATTTAAATTTATATATTGTCATTATTTTATTAACACATTTTTGTTATTTTTATTAACAATATTTATTTATTTGTTTATTTTATTGTTTGAGGCAAATCACGCCAATAAAGTAATTTGAAATTGAAAAATAAAACAAATTCATATTTATATAAACAACAAGGAGGTCTAAATATATCTAATTCACGATCTATTTATGGGAGACGAACATTGTCTGTTACAAACCCAAACCACACAACAACATACTGCAGTATCTTGCACTAAAGCAAATAGGTGAAATAAGTCCACCGTTGCCCTCCTTCTCGCACGCAAACGCACACCTCTGAAACTGTTCTCAGACACTCATCAGCGGCACCCGATGTGACCAATGTCCCGTAACGCGCATTAGTAATGTCTGCATTAGTGATGTCTGCATTAAGTCACGGAGCCGTGGCTCTTTGAGATGTGGGTGTGATGAGGCGCTGGTCATTATTCAGGTAATGTGGGCTGTTTGATCCATCACGCGCTCATGCGATGACGCTCACTCCTCTGTTCCACGGGACGCGCGCGCAGTGAACGGGGAGTCTCGCACTGCTCGTTAAAGACTAATTTCAACATGCGCTCATCTCATTTTTTATCTCACGAGAAAAAAAGATTTGCATCCGTCAAATCGAGAGGATATATATTTTAGTGCATTTGTGCCAAAAAAAAACAAAACAAAAAAACGCGTACTAAATATATTTCAAACGCCTCCCTACTTCAAAAGTCTCTTTCATGTATTCTGTTCTCCAAGCTAAAACTCTAATTACAATCATAATTGTTTTAATAATAAGCTGTTGGATAAACACGCAAGGAAAATAAAATCAAACTGATAGACATAAGTCAACTGCTGTGCAATTAATTGTTTTGCTTTTCATATCAGCTAAAAATGCTATAAAAATGCTTTGAGTCTATAAGTACACGTGACAAAATGTCACATGTCACATGCAAAACAAGAGCGCTTCCTATTAGCCTAATTTTATTATACAAAGACCCAAAACACCGATATTAAAATTTTAGTTTCAATGCACGGAGACCAATAGGTGACTGATCTCGGACCAGCCTCCTCCTGTCCTAAAATAACTCACACAGACCCAAACATAAAGGAGGCGGAGAGTCGCCTGTCTGCATGGAATAAATGAGTGTTGTAATAGCTTTGAGCTTTGCTGAAGTGGAGCTGCTATCAAACACACACTGTCTCGCTTGCTCTACCTGTGCGAATCCAGCCACCATGTCATCAGGGGATCGGATTGCCACGAACAGCCAAACCGCAAAAATCATTTCCATGCGCAAAAACAGAGACAGGATCAGGTTACCAGGGTGATGATACTGAAGGCCATAAACTCACACTCCAAGTCTGTGTGTACTGTATGTCTGACTTTCAATAGGCCGCCGTCTGACCCCATAACCCACACACACACAAACTTTTTTTTAATGAATGTCCATAATACAAACTGTAGGCTAGTAGTACATTTTATAAATAAATAAATAAATGCAGAGACTTAAAAAGTAAACACTGGCATTATCAAAACTGTCTGTTTGAGCATTCGGACCAGTAACACTGGCTGAACCAATAGCATGATTTTGGGGCGGGACTATCGGTTTGTGCACCAATGGCAGATGGAAAGAGTTTGGGGAAACCTGCTTGGAAACAATCATTATGCTCAGCTTTGCCAAGCCTGTGGTTTTCCCGTGGAACTGGGCTACACTGTTACCGCGGGTTAAAGGTTTGACATTTCATAAATTATATTTGACTGAAATACTTGTTTGAATCATTTTGTTCTCACTAGTTTATATTCCACCCATGATAAAACAGATATATAACTGGTAGGGAGCCTGTGTGCAGAAATGTATGACAAGTATTTATTTATGAAAACAGTAAGAGTTTTCTTAAATAATACAATTATTTACAAAAAAAAAAAACAGGTTTATGTTTTAGGCTTAGTTTTCCAACTGGGCTACACTGTTACCGCGGGTTAAAGGTTTGACATTTCATAAATTATATTTGACTGAAATACTTGTTTGAATCATTTTGTTCTCACTAGTTTATATTCCACCCATGATAAAACAGATATATAACTGGTAGGGAGCCTGTGTGCAGAAATGTATGACAAGTATTTATTTATGAAAACAGTAAGAGTTTTCTTAAATAATACAATTATTTACAACAAAAAAAAAACAGGTTTATGTTTTAGGCTTAGTTTTCCAGACTGGATCACTTATTTTGGGCTTGTCTTTCAGGCCAGGTCAATGAAAGACTGGTACAAACTTAGCCATCAATGATCAACTAACGAAAATTGCCAGAACATTAAATAATACATTGATTTCTTCCAGTCTGTAAAGTGTTAGCTATGACTGATTAAATGAAGCAAACTTCCACACGACTAATTAAATTGTGATTCGAACAATCTCATTGAGGTACAGAGACCCAAAAACCCACAAAACAAAAGATCACTCATGACCTTTCATACTGTTCTTCTGCACTTAGTATGATATTTGAATCTGTGATAAAGAAGTCAGATCACAGTGACACTAATAATAAAGTCTGAACAAACTCTGATCAGGGCAAGACAGTGCAAGAGTTTGCCTCTGACAGGAGATGTTGTGTCAGGAAGAGCTGCTTGTTCTTTGTTTCCATCTTCATAGGTTTTCACGGGAAGTTTTCTCAGGTCTGCTTGAGGCCAAAATGAATTTTTCATATATGTCCAGAGGGCTGTCCCGCTCTTACCGAGCAAGCTTAGTGTAATATCCTGCCAACATATCTGAGGCCAGAGAGAGACATGGAAGGAACTCTGAACTACTGATGTTCCTGCATGCATGTTCTTCCCTTTCTGTCCTTCAAGCAATTCAAGTGTGTGTGTGTGGCCCGGTGGCTGTCAGTGGTGACCATCACTCCCCTACGCCCCACTTCACACCCTAGTCGTCCTCCCCGTGGTCACCCGGGAAACCGCAGGCTGCCCAGGCTGGCGCCAGTCCTCTCGCTGAGCTGATCAATACTGCAGCATTTCCTGCCCATTCACTCAGGTCACACACTCACCTCATTAATTATTACTGCCAACACTGCTGCTGGAGCACCCCGGGCACCCACAACACACACGCACAGTCATCGGTTTTCAGACAAACATTTTGGTTAATGCCGCCCCCTGTAATACCAGTGCATTACTCTATGGTCACAAATCAACTTACAATGATTTCAATAATGTTTGTTTGTCGTCTTCTAAGTGGTGTATAGAAATACTGACCTCCATTAATCACAAGGAATCACAGAAATTTTAGAATGAAGAGACATATTGATTTTTTTTTTTCCAAAAAGATATCTCATTTTATAAAAAAAAAATAAAGCTGATTTGGTGACTAAATGCATAGAGTGTGTATGAGTCTGGTAAACTCGACTGTGTGCAACACTCATCAGTTCCGTAAAACTCATCATCTGTAGAGCAGGTCAGAACCACCAACACTCCAAAGTAACTCCTCTTAAAACAGCACCCAAAAAAAGCATAATCAAACTCCAGGCAGGCTCAGTTTCAGCATTAATTAACTGCATCAAACTGAATTGGATTCATATTATATACATCCAGATTGAATCCACCTTCAGAACTTGGTGACCGCGCAGGCCATGTTTTCCAGTGCCGACCGAGCTTCTGATGGTGGGAAGCACTTCATGGCCTCCAAGGCCTTGTTGCCGTGGTAACTGCACAGGTCAAGCGTCTGGCTCACGCCTCGTTCCATCTTTATCAGGCCCCGGAGCTGCAGAGCATGCAAGAATGAGGAGAAATTTTAATATCACTCCATCAAACTGATGAAACTGATATAGGAAACGTAATATTCTTGTAACCAAATTTAGAGGCAAGGAACAGGTCAAGGAACAGGTCAAATCCAGCCCATATTTGAAACAAGCAATTTCTACAGATTAACAGGATTTGCTTGCAAAACAAATGACAGTAACACTTTATAAAATGGTACAATTGTAAACATTAGCTAATGTGCTTGGTATCACAAACTAACAATAAATACTTTTACAGCATTTATTAATCTTGTTTAAATGTTAATTTCTACATACAGTAATTCATTTTTAATATTTCAGTTAATGTAGTATGTATGAACAAATTAACTGAGCAATAGTATTTATAAATTTACATTAATAAGTGGTGTAAAAATGTTGTTCAGTGTTAGTTCATGATCTGTAATGCAAACTAATGTTAACAAATATAATGTATTATTAAAAAGAATACACTAATATTCAAAAGTTTGGGGTCAGAAATAAATTGTAATGTTTTTAATGCTGCTTAATATTTCTGTGACAATTGTTATGCATTTTTTCAAGATTCTATTATGAAGAGAAAGTTTAAAAGAACAGATTTGTTTTATGATTTTGTTTTGAACAAGTCTTCAAAGTCATGTTTGATTCATTTAATGCATCCTTATTGAAACAAAGTATTCATTTCTTTCAGTAAAATCTTATGGGCAGTAAACTTTTGAATAGTAGTGTATATTATCTATATATAATTTAAAAATATATTATCAATATGCCATAAATAACATACCAAAATTCCACAATACTAAATAAACATAATATATTATTAAACATAAATAATTTTCATAAACCCAGAATATTCCACACTCTCCCTCACTTAAATGGTCTTGTAGTCCTCCACTGTCACATACAAACATGTTTTGCTGGAGGCCATTTTGCCAAATGAATTCTGGGATGTGTTGTGCTAAGAAGCCCTTGGGGGGGGGTGATGTGTGTGTCTGTGTCCTGTTGAAGGAGAATCTTGTGTGATGCTGCTGTCAAACCCGTCTCTCTCCTTCCTCTACAAATAAACCTGCCACTCTATCCCCTAATATCCTGTTTCTACAGCGACCCGAGCTGCTTGTGCCCTCCTCCTCCTCCTCTTCCTGCCCCCTCCCCACCACCTCTATTAGTCTCCCCTTCTTTCTTTCTGTCTTTCTTCCCCTTCTGACTTTGGAAATCAAATTTCTGAACTTGCTATCAGTTACAGAACAAACATCTCCTATCGGCTCACTGAGGGCTGTAACCACCAATATTCACAGCACAGGTCGATCAATGTAGGTTTTTCAATGACCGATTCTTAAACTTTTACTTTAATATGCCTCAGATTCAAATACTTGATTACATTCTTGAACTTGCTCACAGAAATGTAGTTTTTTTATATCCTGGTGCAGACTTTCCATTTACTTCTATTGTTTTTAAACCGAGCAGGGTTATTATAGATAGCTAAAACTAAAACTGTAACTGAAACTAAAATTGAAACCATTAAAAAATATATTTTCTCATTTTTATTTAGTTTAACTTGATGTACTAAAATAATTAAAACTGAAATAAACAAAAAATAATAAGAATTATATATATATATATAATATTTAGTTACTTAGTTTTTTTTTTTTTCTGTTTTTTTGTTGTTGCATTTTTAGACTTTCATCAAGATATAATTTAGTATGTTTATTAAGTTCTTTTCCTGGGGACTGTTGGTTGTCACAATAATAGGTAATTTAAGGTTTCACCATCTTACAAAAATATATATTTAAATAAGCATGAACATCTTCAACTTTGTTTCTTTTTTATTGATCATATATGAATGAACTTCTCTTTCTGTTTGTTTGTAAACATTCACACACATGCTGGGACTCTGGGAATGATTTCATGAGTGACTCCTGGGGAATCGATTTGTATCATAACTCTATGAATGTTTCATCAGAAAGACTGTGACCGAAATCATTGATTAGTGGTTTGACCAGGAGGATTGATTTCTCTTGAATTCAATATACAATCTCGATCTCTTATTCATTGGCTGAGTGAAAATAATCAATTGATTTAGTCGCTTTTACACTGAAACACATGAACACAAGTTCTCTGAATAAGAAGACACTAAAATGAGGCACTCGTTACTTGGTTTTCCCTCTCTAGTAATCAAAAAACAGGAGTCACTTACCTTTGTGTAATCAATCTGTCTAGCCATATTCTGGACCTGAAATGAAGAGAGAAAAATGTGAATCCAGAGAACATCATGCTGACACAATGAAACCTGAACCGTAATGGTGTTTTGCCACCAGTCTAGAGGCTAAAATTTTATTGAATCACTTCAATTAATGATAAATACTGTCTGCTCAGTTAGAATATCAAACATAATACAGTAAAACTTGCCTAACTGTCTGCTAGCTGCCTTGAGAATCACATAGCTCATATGATTTTTTCCATCACTGTAATGTGAATAAACATATTAAAATTGGAAAATATTTATGCTTCATGGTTGTATACACTATAAAACTTAACCAACCCAAACTTTTGAATGGTAATGTTTGAATCTGTGTTGAGAGCATATAATTGACCATATAACCATATACACAATCTGTATTGTTAAAAGCGCTATATAAATAAAGGTGACTTGACTTGAGAGGATGTATTTATTTGATCAAAAATGCTGTAAAAACAGTCCTTTCATTAAATATTATAACAATTTAAAATAACTCTTTTCTATTTAATATATTGTATTCTAATATATTTTATAATGTATTCTTGTGTTGGCAAAACTGTATTTTCAGCATCAATTTAATGCGTTCTTTCTGAATAAAATTATTAATTTATTAAAACAAAAACAAAAAAAATTACCAACCTCAAACTTTTGACAGGTAGTTTTGACCGGTAGTATATGTTGTATTTAGTGGTCGACCGATATTGGTTTTTTGACAGCCGATGCCGATATCTTGGAAAGCAGGGGGGCCGATAGCCGATATAAAGCCGATATAATTTTTTTTTAAATTATTATTAATATTTAAGAAATTTTAAATCATTTGACAATGGATTAAAAAATAAATGTGTAAAATAAACATACTTATACTTTAGATGACAAAGTATTTTTCACAAATAAATAAATATTTAATAAAAATATAATTAAAAAGGAAGTAAACACTGTAACCAACAGGGCACTCACCATTCTGGGAAGTTTGTGTGCACTGGGAATCATATTTTTCAAATAAAGCAAGGGTGTAACACATATAAAGCGCAGCATAATTTGAAATCACGAGTTTAAAGTTTAAAGCATTCAATTCACACGGACCGACCTTCACACAGAGAACACGCGATCGTGCTGGATAAAAATGCACACTTCACAAGATCTCACAGCTGGATTCGACTAAGTTTGCAAGGTTTGAGAAATTAAATGTTCATTAGTCATTCAAAGATTTGTTTAAATTATATAAATACGTATTTGCTTAATGCTGACAGCAAACGAGAAAGTATTACAATGTTTGCCTTTCTATTACTAATAATATAAAAGCAATCGTTATAATACTTTCTGTATACATTAATTCCTTTGTTTAACCGTTCTATCGGATTATTAGACAGACTTCTATCCGTATTAGACAGAACTGTTAAAAACGACAGTAAACAAGAGGCAGAATGTGAGCACTGTGTGCTCAGGCGCTGTCAAAATAAAAGTTCCACCTCGAACACATCGGCCAAGCAGAAAAACTTATCGGCCGATGCCGATATTTGAAAAATGGCAAATATCGGCCGATATATCGGTCGACCACTAGTTGTATTGCCTATTAGTTTATGCTGATTTTTGTTTTTAATTGATTTTTGTTTTTATTTTTTTACATTTTGTAGTGAAATATGTGAGATGAGATTCACCAGGTTATTTTACAGAGAGGCTATGAATGAAGTATCACACAGCTGCAAGTGTTCAGATTTGGTTGTCTGGTACCCGTTTTAGCTGGTGCCGCCATCTCTCAGGTCCTACGATCTGTCTGTGGAAGATTACAGGAGCCGAGTCCAAACTAAACACAGTCGCTTCTGACCCACTCTTCACGAACGGCTGCAGATCAGAGTTTAGCTACAAAGACACACACATATATCCATGAATTTTGTGAAATGAGCTTTCTACACAAAGAGAAAACAGGAGAATGTAACTCAAGCAGACAGTAGGAACAGAGAAACAGCTTGTGCCTGCAATGCATGTGTGTGACTGTGTGTACACACCTTGTGTCCCAGAGCGAGGTGTTTTCCGTACTGAAAAGCCAAATTCTGAGCCTCGGTACCATGTCTGGCCAGCTTCATCGCTGCTTGACAACTCTTGGCAAGCAAAGCACCATGGGACAGAAATGTTTGGTCTTCCCAGGATGCAACTGTTAGACTGCCCTCCTTCAGAATACAGAAAAACTCCATCAAATAAGCACTAATGTATTATAAATACTGGGATGTACACTACTGTTCAAAAGTGTGGGGTCAGTAACTTTTTTAAAGAAATATTTTAAACCAGCAAAGATGCAATAAATTGATCAAAAGTGACAGTAAAGACATTTATAATGTAAATATAAATATAAGCTGTTATCAACAAATAATAAGATTAAGATATTATTCAATAATGAGAAATGTTTCTTGAGTAATGAAAATTCAGCTTTGCCATCATAGAAATAAATTACATGGTAAAATATATAAAAGTTATTGGATTATTTTAAATTGTAATATTTCACAAATTTACTGTATTTCTATCAAATAAATGTGAGCATGGTGAGCATAAGAGACTACTTCCAAAAACATTAAAAAAAAATAAAAAAAACTTACCTACCTCAATTTTTTTAACAGTATTGTTTAACAAGATTTGGGGAACTAGGATAGATCATAAAACAAACCTCCAAAACACTTAAGAAAACGTTTAGAAACACTGAGTTAAATTCCTAAACAAGCAGAATGTTGCAGGAAACTTTAAGGATGCCACATTAAACAAAAGAGCGTAAACTAAAAAATGGTGGTATGGCGGTTGGGGGGTAACTGGAGGAGGGAAGGTGATGCAAACGTCTGCTCGGAAATGTCTCCTCTAAAAAGGGTAAAAGAAACTTGAATCTCTCTCCCTCCCTTGTTGCATTTCTCTCATAAACGTGGCCTTCTCCATCACTTTTCCTCCTCCTTTTCCCCAGACAGGAAACTTTGTCATTCATTATTTACTGCGAGCAGTTTGCAGATGTTTAAGTCAGTCTGTGTTTCGCTCTGTTTGGAAATGTTTTGCTTGTTCAGTTTTGAAAGCTTTGAATATGAAACATTAAACACTAAAAAGATTCCTCTGGTACTCGATTTTAATTAATTTATGAGGAAAATAAAGCTTAATCTTAGCAATGACACATATTACATCTCATAGATGGCACATGTTTATTAAAGCAATAAACCAGAGAGGTCGTGCCTTACAGTAATTTACATATGGCTTTGAGTGGTTGCTTCTATAAAACAGGTGACACAACGGGAATATAACAAAAGACAATGTTTCATAAACAGGCACATTACTGTTCAAAAGTTTACTTTTTTATGCTTTTGAAGGAAGTCTCTTATGCTCACCAACGTTGCATTGATTTGATTAAAAATACAGTAAAATATTAAATATTATAAAAAAAATAAATTTTGGAAATTAATAAAAAATGTAATTTATTCCTGTGATGGCAATGCTGAATTTTCAGCAGCCATTACACCAGTCTTCAGTGTCACACGATCCTTCAGAAATCATTCTAATATGCTGATTTGGTGATCAAGAAACTTTTCTTATTATAGTCAATGTCGAAAACAGTTGTGCTGCTTAATATTTTTGGAAAAATCGTAATTTTTTTTTTTTCACAATTCTTTGGTGAATAGAACATTTTGGTTTCATCCGTTCTTGCTGACTAAAAATGTAAAATTAAACAATGGGAAAAAAAATCATATCACTATATATTTCCTATATACACATATAAACAAATATACACACACACACACACACACACATACATACA